CGGAACCGACATTCCGCTCGCTTGTGGCGACCACTGCATCCGAAGCAACGAAGCTCAGCTGGGCCCTTGTCCTGACGATCTTTGGATCTCTTCCCAGCTGCTTGGTAAAGCTTGTCCACCTCATCTTCAGGATCTTCTTCCGAATCCTCTCGCACGTCCTCCTTGTGGATGGTTGCAGTCTCTGGAGTGCTTCAAATAGGCGCATATTCTTGACCGCTCCACCTGCAGCTTCCTCTGCTGTGACCTCTCGCAGAGCATCTTGGAAAGAGACATCTTCCTTCGCAAACAGCTTCTGCTGTAAGTCTCTGTTCCTCAGTCCGCACACAAAATGATTGCGCAGCCTTTCCTCTAAGTCCTTGAAATCACACGGTTTAGCTGCTCTTCTCAAGGCTGCAATGAATTCTTTTGCTGATTCCCTAGCTCACTGATCCCTCAGTTCAAATGTGTGCCTCCAAGCAATGACAGATTGCTTAGGCTGGAAGTGTTCTTTCAAAACTTTCTTTAGATCAGAGTATGAAACAGTTTCTAGCGAGGCTGGGGCGACTAGATTCTCAGCGATCTCAAAGGCATCTTGCCCACAAACACACAACATTGTGGCAGCCTTTAGGCCATCTTCCCTTATCTGATTCACGCGGAAATAAGTCTCCACCCTTGCAACGTAAGATTCCCACTTCTCCGGGTGAGAGACATCAAATTCAGATAACCGCCCAATTTTCGCCATGATCAGGGGACAGGGTTTTCTTCAGCTGCACTCACCCTCCAGCGATGCTGTACTGGCAGGATAGACGCTGACTTCAACACCGTCGTCCCTCTTCCGGACTTCTTTGGGTGAGTCTTCAAGCTTTCCTAGCTATCTAGACTGAATCCCATCCTCGTCGCCAGTGTTAAGTCCAGAGAATAATGGCGAATGAAGCAATGCATTTCTCAACAGGTCTTTATTCTCTGACTACAGTCAACGAACAACCAGAGCAGAGGCACGCAGGCCTCTATTTATACCCTCTGATCCCCGGGCAATTTCAACCAATCACAAGCAGTCTTTTCCCGCCTTGCGCATGCGCGCAAGGCCGGCGCCGCTCAGTCTGGTCCCGGGCAGCTTTTGCAAATGCCCAGGACTCTTGCATCGTCCCGAGCCTGCTTCTGCAGGCTCAGGACACAACAGATATTGTGGTATTTATGTCTCAATTTTTCTCTGAGAGTTCAGAATGAATTTTATGGAGGGTCCTTATAACAAAAAAGCCTTGCCAGGTCAAGTTAAACCTAATTCAAAGTTATCAATATATTTAATTAAATATAACACCAATGATAACACCAGTGTTTCACTTTTTTATCCCATTCTTATTATTTTCAGAGTATGGCACCTAACCAGTCACTTAAGACCTTGAACAACATTTGGCCTAGAAAAAAAAATGAACACAATACTCACTAAAACGTAATATGCTTTTCCCATAAATAATGCTTCCGGCAGCCATCCCACCCCCACTTTCATTGGACATATCTATTTTACAGACGAAAATCAGAAAGAAACAGCCCTATGCCTTATTCAGTGGAAAGATCCTCACTATTGATGAGAGATTAATTTCTAATGCAAGAAAAACATTTCACAATGTTTTTTTCACCTTCCCATATGCTACCAAAAAGGCTATTGCATTGTTTGCAGGTCACAAAGGAGTTGATCTGCAGGGTTCTATTTTTAAATCAGAAATGGAAATGGAATATGATTACAATATATAAAGATAAAGAAAAAGATAAAGATAAAGGTAATGATGATGGTGATGATGATGATGATGATGATGATGATGATGATGATGATGATGATGATGATGATAATAATAATAATAATAATAATAATAATAATAATAATAATAATAATAAAGTTGGAAGGGACCTTGGAGGTCATCAAGTCCAACCCCCTGCTCAGGCAGGTAACCCTAACTGGACAAATGGCTGTCCAGTTTCTTCTTAAAAACTTCCAGTGTTGGAGCATTCACCGCTTCTGGAGGCAGGTTGTTCCACTGGTTAATTGTTCTAACTGTCAGGAAGTTTCTCCTTAATTCTAGGTTGCTTCTCTCCTTGATTAGTTTCCATCCGTTGCTTCTTGTCCTGCCTTTAGGTGCTTTGGAGAATAGCTTGACTCCCTCTTCTTTGTGGCAGCCCCTGAGATATTGGAACACTGCTATCATGTCCCCCCTCGTTCTTCTCTTCGTTAAACTAGACAGCAACCGTTCCTTGTATTCCAGCAACCATTCCTTATATGTTTTAGCCTCCAGTTCCCTAATCATCTTTGTTGCTCTTCTCTGTTTTCTTTCTAGAGTCTCAACATCTTTTTTACATCGTGGTGACCAAAACTGGATGCAGTATTTCAAGTGTGGCCTTACTAAGGCATTGTAAAGTGGTATTAATACTTCGCGTGATCTTGATTCTATCCCTCTGTTAATGCAGCCTAGCACTTTGTTAACTTTTTTGGCAGCTGCAGCACACTGCTGGCTCATATTTAAATGATTATCCACTAGGACTCCGAGATCCCTCTCACAGTTACTACTATTGAGCAAGGTACCCCCTATACTATACCTGTGCATTTGTTTTTTCTTGCCTAAATGTAGAATCTTACTTTTTTCACCATTGAATTTCATTTTGTTAGATAGCGCCCAGTGTTCAAGTCTGTCCAGATCCTCCTGTATCTTAAGCCTGTCTTCTGGAGTGTTGGCTATTCCTGCCAGCTTGGTGTCATCTGCAAATTATTCCATCTCTCCCTCTAATATTGGATTCTCCACCCCAGAGATCAGTGTGAGTTAATGTCTGGAGGCCCATTGGATTGCCATACCGGCACCCAACTTCAGAACTCCATAGCCAAATAGCAATGGATTTTTCTTCTTATTCTTGTTGCATCCAATCTCCAGTGTGAGCTCATCAGACCCCTGTGTTATTAGTGAGTTGAACTAGCTTTAACACTTAAATATTTGAGTTCTGCATCTCCCTTTCTCCCTCCCCTAGTTCTGTGTTCTTCGTCCTGGATACAAGCCCATTATCTTTGCATAATTTCATAGCTTTTTTCTTGCCTCATTTATTCTTGTTTTTTGTTATAAAAAAAAAATCTGGAGCAGAATACAATTGCTCAGCCCTTCAAGTAATGCACAGAGGTTTACTATGTCTTGCATCAACAACAATCTTCATGTGGTTTAGAGCCTAATACAGCTCTCTCTGTTGTTCAGCACCCCAAACCACAGGCCTTAACTAAAAGCAAGGCAGACCAAGGTGGGAGATGTTTGCTGAATAAAAGATAGGGTAATACAAGAGAAAGCATTCCTGATAAACTGAAAAAAGCTGAGAGAGAGCAAGAGGCAGCTTTAACACTAACTTATAATGGACAGGTTCTAAATCTCCTCCACAACATCCAAAGCTGAAATCAAACGGAATGCACTTGCAGAAAAGTTGACACTGAGTTTTGCTTTTCTTTAATGAAGCTTTAATAGGTGTTTACTACATTTTTGCATTGTAATAATACATTCTCTCTCGCCCTATTTATTCTTTTATCTTTCCCATTCCACCCCACTACCCCAGTTCTGGCATAAGACTGTATTGCCTAAAACTGGGATGATGTGATTATATTGTTCACATGAGCATGCATGTATGTGCACACACAATGCACACATACAGAGTATTATGTACATAGGTCCTTTATTAACACACATGAAACAGTTTAAACTTACAAGTATCGGTAGTATGTGCATTTGTGTAAGTGGTTAGAGGGAGGGCAGATGTCCCAAGCTCTGAGACCCATGTAAAATTCAGCTAAATGAATTGCATGCACAAGAGAAAACATGTGGGACAGGGGAGATAGCAAAAACTAGGTTATGGGAAGTGAGTTAAAGGGCAATTTTGTAAAACAAACAAACAAACAAACAAACACTGAATATCACACATCAATGAAGTAACACTAGTAACCTTTGCACCACCTAATTTTTCCATGGTACTACAGGAGGGTTTTTCACCCCCACAATCCTTTGCAAAACTTGCCCATAGTAGGAATGCTATGCTTTCCCTACAGACTTTTGCAATAGGTCAAAAGAGGATTTGTGCATACTTTTCCTTTCTTGTGCTTCCCACTACAGGAATCCCATCCTTTCACAAGATTCCCATATGAAAGGTGGGAATCAGAAGTCTGATAAATAAATAGTATGGAAGTAAACGAATGAATGAATGAATGATAATCATTGCCACCCTTTTCAGATTTTGCTAAGCATTACTGTCGAAGGTTCCAACTTTCTTTTATACCTTTCATTATTCATTTCCTGCCATTTGCAGCTATTCCTGCAAGGGGCACTAATTCTCTTTGCCCCTCTCCCCTCCTCCTCAAATCATTTATGCTGGATTCATCCAAAGATGTTCCTTTCCCTTCTCTTTCCTGACCTGTTTTTTGTTCTGATTCTCACTGTTCTGGCTGGGAGCCAAACAGAGTGTCTTCAAGGTCTGGTTAAAAAAAAAACCGCAAGATGGAGGATACAGCAGTTTCATTGAAGCTTGGCCTTCATCTTGACTTCTTTGACTAGACCTTGCAGATACTCTAGAGCCAAACAAGAAGAGGAGGCTCATGGGACAGAATGCCAATTGGGCAAGGAAGGCAATAGAACAGCTATAGATGCACACAAAGATGTTGAAGAAGGCAAGAGAAGCTTTAGAGTTGTGTTCTTCAACCTTGGCAATTTCAAGAGGTGTGGATCTCAACTCCCAGAATTCCCCCTGCTGGGTGGGCAATTCTGCCAGTTGAAGTCCACAGCGCTTAAAGTTACCAAGGTTGAAACACATTGCATTAGAACCAAGACAGTCCTAACCTAAAGACACAAAGAGGGAAGGGCAGGGAAGCTCTCCCTGTGTGCCATCCCCTCCCTGAGAGTTTTTCACCACTGCTGCATTTCCCTTTGCAGAGGAAAAGCCCTTTTCTCTCCATTAATCTTCCCTTCCTTTTCGTTTGTTTGCTTTTTTTCTCTCCATCACTTTTGTGCTCATTGCAGTCGGGGCCAATACTGGGCAAGATCAGCATCCCCACCTGGGACTTGTACAGGAACTGACACTCCCGGAGAGATCAACCCTAGAAAGAGAGACAAAGTGTCAGTGGGGGTTGGGGAGACGGATCCTGGCAGAACGTTACAGAGTGCAAAATTTTGAACCCAGGCTTTCAACTCAGCAACTGTAGGAAACACCCTGTGGGAAGTTGGGGACAAAAACTGAAACAAGTTGAACAGTCCTGCTGCACTAATTATTCCTTGTTCACAGATTGCCAAGGCTATTTCAGATTCCTTAAATATGATGTCTCTGAATGTAGAAAAGGCAACAAAAAGGTTGCTTCTTTAAAAGCTAGAGAGATGGTAGAGCCCCAGAGACACTTCTGGGCCCCTGGAATAATGTGTGTTCATCTTTCCTTGGTTACTACCTTGCATTCCTAACAACTATTTAAGAGAATGGATAGACTGTTTGCATTAGAAAGGAGATGATGTATACATTTCTAAGAACCTCAGCTTTTGCAAAACAGAAGCACTCTTGCTTTGATCCCAGATGGATACATGTATAGGAGCAAAAGTCCCACTTATCTTTCAACACCCAGATGAGCAGAGATTAACACCAAGATTAACATTAGACCAACAATCAAGAAGAAAACAATATCCCAATCAAGGAACTACCAAGTAAGCTAACAGTAAACAGACCAACCAAAGAACCATCAAGACCTTTTCCACTATCACTGACAGGGCAAGCCACTAGATACAAGGGTAGGCAACCTTGGCTCTTTTATGACTCGTGGACTTTTAACTCCCAGAATTCCTGAGCCAGCCATGCTGAGGAGAAAGGAGAGGTTTCCAAGCTGAGCCATGCTGGCTCAGGAATTCTGGGAGTTGAAGTCCACGAGTCATAAAAGAGCCAAGGTTGCCTACCCCTACACTAGAATTATAAAAAGAGAGCAAATCCCATTATTTACTAGCACTGACGATGTTACCTAGTTTGGGTTATGAAACATCTGCAAGAAAACAACCAAACTCAGAGAGCACCAAGGACCCCCACTTAGTTTTCTTTCCTTCCCATTTCCCCCCCCCCCAAAGATGCTAGTATAATTTAGTAATAATGAGTTGGAAAAAATGAACTGAAAAACGAGTAGAAAAAAAATATGAAACAGGCAATGCCTTTTGGGATGAAGTAGCAAATCTGTTTCTAAAAATAATTTCTCCCTTTGTCCAATTTCTTTGGCAGACTTTGACATTGCTTGTTCACTTCTTTATTATCTTTCTTGAGGCTGAAAATGGCTTTGTGGTCTGTGTAAAGCAAGACTCTGATACCCAATATGGTAGTTAAAATGATGCCTGATGAGTAAATATTGCCCTTAATGAAAGAAAAAATGAAACTAGCACATTGAATTATTTTTCCATGACCACAAGGCTAGAAAGAGGCTTCTCCTATTTTGTCTTCAAAAATATTAAAAGAAATTCACACAAGCGGACATCTTCTACCCACCACAGTGTAAGAATTACTTCCCAGATTCCCAGATTCTTCACTTGTATTTGCTGTGGCCATTATGATTGCCCAGTTCCTCCTGCTAAGTTTTCCTGCAGTCAGTTCTGTTTTCCCAAGTGATGTGCTTCCATCTCACCCTGTCCCAATCCCACTTCCCCGTATGTTTCTGCTACATTACCAGTAGAGGTCCCACTGCTGGCATTCAGACTGTGAGAGGGGAGCTGGGAGGGTGTGTATGAATCATAACTTCGCACTGACGGGCTGCCAGGGAGCATGCAGGAATAAGATGACGACTGGCTGGCAACTGGGGGCACTGCCTGCTAATGAGTACCAGAGAATATGCAACAAAGAAAGAAAAAAGGATATTAATATTGATGGGGAATCAACACCGGTCATCAGCAACCCCCACTTGGCACCATTCAAGAATTCTGTTGTTCCTTTTAAGTTCACCTGAATAGGGAGGCTGTTGTTGGCCATGGAGAAGGGGGCTAAAGGTGGGAGAGAACCATAGTTGTTGCTGAGGACACTTTCTGTATGGCCCAGCATAGCACCTGAAAAAAAAGGAAAAGAGTTTTGTGATACAGAAGAGCAGTACCCTTGAGGAAGCAAATTAAGAAATAGCCCACAAAGCTTTCAATAGAATGAGGAAGTGTGTTCTTAAAAACAGCTCAGCTGGCTCATCAATTTCTGCAATGAATGAATGAATAACAGGCATTACTATCCAAACAAGTGATCTTTTAAGTCCAGAATCTAAAGGTGTCTCATGGCACCAAAGTTTCCAAAGGATACATGATACCTTGATCAATTATTCTGCTTGGGAAGACCCCAGGAATAGGTGGGGAATGAATGATCTGCTTGGGGACAGGCCCTCACCTGACCCTAAAGACTGGGGGAGTGACTGGTAGACACCACTGCCTACAGTGCCAAAAGTGCTGTTTATGATCAGGTGCCCCCCAGTGCCACCTGCTTGACGCCTCTGGTTCCGCAGTTTCTCTTCCCGACGCCATTTAGCTCGACGGTTGGAGAACCAGACCTGGAAAAATTTTAAAAAAGGAACTCTGTTGCCCAAGAGAACAAGGAGTGTAATGGTAGAAAGCCCCTGCCTATTTCTCTCTTGTTAAATGGCTACTAGGTCATCTTATTTACCTGGATCCGGGCTTCGGGCAGATCAATTTTTGCTGCCAAGCGTTCACGGGCAAAGACATCAGGGTAATGAGTACGCTCAAATTCTGAAGATTTAAGTTAGAATGTGTCAAGATATTAAAGACATATCCTCCTCTTTACCAACACTTATAGTTCTTAACAAAATATATTTTCAAGCACACATACTCTGCATACCACATTAAAGGTACATACTTCCCCTTGTAACTTTTATGTTTGGATTCAAAAGTACAGTTCTTTCATATGTGATCCTTCTTTCCCTCTAGTTCTCCTTTAGTGACCAGTAATAAAATGTGTATTTTAAAAGGCAGTCTTCCTTCAATATTAGGTCATCATCTGGCCATTCCAGTGTCAGACTTCCATAGGAATTCAGGAAGACTGCAAATGTTATGTCCAGTGCTTCCCATTTGCTGTTCACAGCACTCATTTTCTTTTCTTTTTGTTCTAAGAGCCATACTCTTTGGAAGCCCTATGTTCTTAAAAATCATTACAGTGTTTTTCAAATTGGGCCTGTTTAAGATGGGAGGGCTTCAACTCCACTTTGAAGGAATTCTAGGAGTTGAAGCCTACACATCTTAAAGTGTCCCAGTTTGAAAAACACAAGTATAATGCATTCTATGTTTTTGGTACAATGTATGATTTAAAAATGGCATGGCTTATAATGCATGGCAAAAAAAAAAAAAAAAAGCAGCTTCGTGCATAGACTGTAATACAGTTTATGACCACCAGATGGCCATGAATGTCTGTTCGCGTTCCCATTCTCTCTTTGAAACGGGATTGCCAATTCTGGATGTTAAATAATTAGACACCATTATCAGAATGCCTCTAAACAGATGACGTTGTTGTTACTTTTTTTTAAAAAAATGCTAATGTCTGGGTTTGCAAAAAAAAAATAAATTATATCTCTCACAGTTATTACACAGCAATATTCTAAAAAAGAGGTTAGAGGAAGTCAGTGAAATTGTTATGTATAATCCAGTGCTTTCCAATTCTTCTAATACGAAATATGATTTTAAAATGGCATAGTTTATAAAGTGTGGCAAAAAATGCAGTTTCATACATAGGCTGCAATATGTTTATAATTTCTAAATAGCACAACTGCCATCCTACTGAAAGGATTTCCAATACCTTTGGTTTTGCTCAATCAATGTGTAAAGCACCCTGCTTTTAGCAAAATCCTCAGACTCATTTCCTGATATTTTAAAATTAGAACTGAAAAAAATTCCTATGTGAGCTTTGGACGGTCACTGCCAGCCATAATTCTAGTTTAGATGGATTGATAACCTGATGCAATAAAAAAGCAATTTCCTGTTTCTGAGATCTTCAGGCAATGTTTCTCAACCTTGGCAACTTTAAACTATCTCCCAGAATTCCTCAGCCAGCATGGGGAGCATTCCCGCTTGGCTGGAGAATTCTGGGAGTTGAAATACAAACATCTTAACTTTCCCAAGATTGAGAAACATTGTTTTCAGGCTTCACCTGTCAGGTGGTTTCAAAAATAGAGCAGCTGTGCAACTGGTTCTTTTGAGCTGTGTGCCTGGGCCTGGTGGGTTGGCTACATCTGTGATAGGCCAACAAGTACCTGGAAAGACTAACTAACTACCAACCTCTTCATACATCTTTTATCAAAGGCCACATGCTAGCAAAGTGCTATGTGTTTGTTTGAATCAGCCCCTTACGGCCATTGCTCAGAATGTATCAGGGTGCATCTGCATGTTGGTTTTAAAAAACAGTGACATTCCCCATGCCTAGTCTGACAACCTCCTGTTCCAATTACCCTAGAAAAGAAATTCCACCCAACTGGCCCTCACTTTAGAGCACAATCCCTGTTTCCTCTTTGCCTTACCTTTCTCCAGTGCCTCTATTTGCTCCTGCGTAAAAGACGTTCTGTTTCTTTGCAATTTGCGCTTCAGCTGCAAATGGATTTGGGAGTCATCCAGATCTTGGTTGCTACCACCTTGGGGGTGCTCAGAATCCAAGCTACTTCCTAGCTGCTGACAGTTGTCTGAGGAGGCAGGGTGGAGAACCATGAGCAGCCAAGAGTTAATAACACTCTTCCCCCACATTGGTGCTTTTCAGATATGCCCGACAGTGACAGATACATTGACTCTGGGATATGGGAGTTGTAGTCCTCTAAGGCCATAAGTTGTCAAATGATTTAGGTTTAGGAGCAGAGATGGAAGCAGAGACATCATTTCAACTATTTTTTTGTTATTCATTAGCTTTATATGTATTCTTTATTTGTATGATTCAAAGTGAAGTAATAATGAGCTCTTTTTATTTATAATAATAATAATAAAGTTGGAAGGGACGTTGGAGGTCATCAAGTCCAACCCCCTGCTCAGGCAGGTAACCCTATACCATTTTGGACAAATGGTTGTCCAGTCTCTTCTTAAAAATTTCCAGTGTTGGCGCATTCACCACTTCTGGAGGCAGGTTGTTCCACTGGTTAATTATTCTAACTGTCAGGAAGTTTCTCCTTAGTTCTAGGTTGCTTCTCTCCTTGATTAGTTTCCATCCGTTGCCTCTTGTCCTGCCTTCAGGCGCTTTGGAGAATAGCTTGACTCCCTCTTCTTTGTGGCAGCCTGTCTCACAGTGTTATTATTCCACAATAACACTGTGAGACAGGCTGGGCTGAAAATGAGAGGCCCAGAATAACTTAACTGGCTTTTGTGCCTAACCACTGCACCAAACTGTTTCTCCAAGCCCTCAGAAACATGGTGGTTATCACCAGCACCAGTCTTTACAGGTAGTCCGCTACTTATGACCATAATGGATCCTGACCAGGATGGTTATAACTCACGATAGTCATAAAGTGGGTTATTATGTGACTGGATGACATTTTTTTTTACTGCAAGTGTCAATTGAGCACCACAGTGGTTAAATGAATCCATTGTTCACCATGGGGCATTTTTCCTGAAAACTGAAGTAAATGCCAGTTTTTGGCAAAAACACTGACAATCACATCCACATGGCTGCTAGATACTGCAAACAGCCATAAATGTGGGCTGGTTGCTGAGTGACCAAAATGTGATCATGGGGTTGGCATTAGAACTTTAAACTTTCACTAAGTGACCAATCACAAGTCAGGGACTGCCTACAAATGCTGTAGGAGCCAACCAGGACTTCCTTCTGCTGACCAAGAAGACAGCAAGAAAATCAGTATCAAACCACCCTCCACCCCAGTTGTGGATCTCTTTTGTTCGGCATCACTATGGTAGACACAGTATAGAGGCTTAGACTGCTCCCACCAAGCACCCTAAAGCTTTGCATGTAGATTTGGATTCAGTGTGTTTGATGCTTAACTGCAGCTGAGATGGAAATAAATGGATTCAGTGCCACCCTAATTATCCTGAATAATTGTGCTGATGTGAAGATAGTTAACTTTCTTTGCCATTTTCTCCTATTCCAGGTTATTCCTCTATCCTGCATAGCCACTTGCTCCAAATATTGAGTTGGGGGCCACCGGTAACCACTAGTGGCCAAGCTTCATGCAATGACCAGTTTGTACAATATCTGCGGGGAAGTGTCTTGTTTGAAAAAGGCAAAAGGGAAAATGTAGCCACAAGGTGCTGCAAGATTAGGAATCGCTTCACACAACTGCTCTCCTTCCATTTCCAACCCCTACTTTTCTTTCTCCCCTTTCCTCCGTAAGATTAGGGCCAGTTGAGAAATGTCCAACTCAACTCTTGTTCTTATCTAACTCATCAACTCAGACATGAAAGAAATCTGCATAATTTTGCTCACCCACAGACCGTGAGATTTTAGTGCAGAATGCAAAGCCTTGCAAAAATTCATAGACATCTTTCTTGGTGTGTTTGAAATTTAAAGGAATGGGCTGTGGGAATTCTTAAGAGAAGCATCTACAGTCAGGGTTGGTAACTTGTTCAGCTCCCCATTAATTTTTGCATGGTCCAAGCAACAAGTAACTGGATCAAGCCTCCATTTCAGCTTCCCACAATGCTCTGCTTTTCAGTTAGAATCAATAGTTATAGCCATTAGTAGCTTTGAGTGTGAGGGAGCTTCACAGCATTGTGGGGAATTAATATGGTGGCTTGAGACAACCACTCAGTGCTACTTAGAGCACCGTTGTTACTTGTCCTTTGTCCATAGAAAGATCAGACTCACAGAAGGAAGATAGACACTTTTGTTCGGGGCACATTTAAACAAGTGCAGGAAGGGGAAAGGGGAGACCAGCTGACAAAAGTAGCCCTGCAGCATAAGCTCTGATCCTTCAGTATGTACATACAATGTTACATGCACATTCAAAAAAGGGTTAATTTTGCAAGGTGATGATGTCTTTCGGCTGGTTCTCACACAGATAGGAAGCCTACCATTGACAGATATAGGTTGACTCACCTTCCTCAAAGAGTTAAGCTCTGTTATAGAGGAAAAGAACAAAAAAAAAACCCCCCAAACCAAAATCTTCCCACCTAAAATTGCCTATATAGATAATCCCTGACTTTGAAAATATATGCACTGGAATTCCTGTGCTATATAGCTGTAGCCCTCTTTCTAGCAAATATTATTTGCTGGAACTTTCTCTTCCAATAAACTGTGTCCAGAAATCTGCCATGGGGTCCCTGAACCTCACATGGCATTTTGCTTCGTCCCCTGGTGGAAAACTGACGTTCTCCTCTGGCTTCTTAGCTTCTTCCCCCACCACAGGCCTTTTCTTCTTCCTGTCCGACTCTGTGGTGAGACAACTGTTTATTAATAGTTTATAAGGAGCCACTGAATAATGTGTGTTAAGAAATTGTTAATCCATGACTGCACACTCACAGTGGAGATAGATTCTCCTATCTAGTTCTAATTCACTATAGTGGCAGAACCACCCATCCCACACGACACACAAAATATAATGCATGCATAGTGACTCAAGACCAGAAGGGACAACAAACGGGAAGACATGAAAACAGTCTCAGTTTTTTTGGCAGAAAAGTGGTGGGAGTGGGGGCGAATGGAAGAAGACTTCATTTCCAGGATAGAGTGTAGGTTTTGTATAGATGGTGTGTATTGCAGGAATCTTGATCTCTCTGAGACAGGAAGTTTTGTTCCTGTTTGGCTTAAAATAGGGGCTGCAGGGAAACTGGTGACAGCTGCTTGAGGCCTTGGAGCCCATGAGAAAGGGAGAGTGGAGGGGTGGCAACTGAAGGTTTGGGGGAACCCACAAGAGCTTAACCTTTTGTCCAAGGGGAGCTCTATCCCGAGCAATGACCTTTCCGTGCTTCTGCGAAGCCAAGCACTCAGATCTCCGCAGGCAACGCAAAGCCACAGCATCAGCCAGAGTGCCTTAATGTGAGATGACATGGCCTTCTCCCTCCCCCTTATTCTTCTAACTGTTTGCAGTCCCTGCAGCAAAGAGATCCAAAATGCCTCGTTGGTGAAGAATATTTCTGCTTGGCCCTGGCCCAGATGTAGGGCTGTCAGGGTCTGTCCTCACCACCCCTGTCACTTCAACCAGTCTGCCCCTCCCCCCCTTCTGCTCCATTCTCCCATATCGCCCTCAGTTCTATTTTTTGCTGAGATATCTTTGCAAAAATGCAAAGGAAGGAAACACGCTTGCATACACCCAGAGGGGAAATGGGGCAGGAGGGTTGGGGGGGAGGGGGTTAAGATGGAGGAGAGAAGGGAAATGAGCGGGAGGGAGGGGGAGAAGGTTTTGAACTGTGTCTGAAATCACCACAAATGGAGAAGTTGGGCAGAAGGAGGACCTCCTGCTTTTATGCTTTGGCAACCGCAGCAGCCATGGCTCTTTGGATGTGGGTCATATAAATGGGACTGAGAACATTAGAATAGGATTCATATGACAGCTAGTACATCCTTCCCAAACTTGTCAGTTTCCAAGTGTCTTGGGTAATTATTCTCAGGATCTGCAAGTTGTGATGGCTAGGGATTCTGGAACGTCTGTTCCAGGCTGTCTGAATGCTCCAGGTTGGACCAAACCAATCAAAGGCATTTGGAATTAGACAACATCCATAAGGACATCTATTGTACCCCAGGTTCCAAGTGGGCAGGATTGTCTATGGGCCTCCAGGCCAGGTCACACAATACAAGCAATCATCAGGCGTGTTTTTAAGAAAATTGACTGTTCTATATATATATATATATATATACTTTATATATATTTGCTATGTCACGGAGGATGGAGATGTCAACTCAGCTGCGGGGAAAGTCCCCAGTGATGAATGGGCAGAAGGCCCAATGTAGTACAGCACTACAGCTTTTTATTAATTTTATTAGAAGTTCAGTTCAGCTGTTGAATGTTGCAACTTGAGGGAAAGCAATACCATGTGATTCGACCGCCTGGCAGCAATAGGCAACAAGGGTTATTGTGGTTTGAGATGGGGTGACACCACAGTTTATGAACCGTCTCACTACAGACCCATGAGCAACAGGAGCAACTATTGAAGTGAAAAGATTTTGGAATGTCAGCCATAAGAGCCTAATGTTAAGGTCCCTGCTTACCTTAAAGCAATCTCACATTCTGCCCATCAGTTTCCCTAGGGCAGGGGTAGGCAACCTCGGTTCTTTTATGACTGGTGGACTTCAACTCCCAGAATTCCTGAGCCATGCTCAGGAATTCTGGGAGTTGAAGTCCACCAGTCATAAAAGAGCCGAGGTTGCCTACCCCTGCTCTAGGAGATTACTCTAGAGATTATTGAGTTGGGGGGAGATTATAGATTTTTATACTATGGAATGTTATTGTTTTAAGCCACTCAGAATCAATGTGTGTGAATTTGATGGCCATATAAGTCTTTTTAATAAATAAGTAAATAATTTTCTGTTTTATATTCCATAAAGATAGGTAAGACTTTGTCAGTACGCAAAAAGGTCTTTTTGAATCTCAGTGGAGACTATGAAAAAGTGGAGTGCAAAGAACTATGTTTCTACTGGAATGACTATAAAAGGGACGGAATCAAAAATGTCAAGAACATAACCATATGATGAAAGCCCCACTCATTTTATATGCACAAAGGGTGATAGAACTTCAGTGGCATGATCATGATTGCCATCTTGAATTTTCTGACTCCCTCCATGGATAATCTTGTCTATGTACTGCAAGGAAGCACAAAGTTCAGTTCTAATAGGCATATCATCTTATGCAGAAGGGTCCCACTACCTTCTTATCTTACAGTATCTGCTAATGCCTTTAGCTTTGATTTTGAAGTCAGCAACCAAGGTTCTAAAAAAAATGCGAAAGGAAGATGAGTAAGTCTAGTATTCCATCTAAAGTTTCTACCTGGAAATAAATGCTCAAGAGGGATGAGAAAGTGCAGTACGCCTGCACGCGGAGCTCTCTCTTGCAATGAGAACTAGCAACACGCTTTACTGAAAAATGAACTTTGAGGAATTCTTAAGAACCAAATAAGAGATTGGAAGATATGTGAGATACATATTGTATTGACTCATCCATTGGATAATTAGCCTATGTTATTCTAATTGAAAGTAATTTGAAGTAATTATTTAAGGTTTGCAACATAAGAAAATAAAATGAGTACTAATTCATGATTCCTAATTCCAGGAGACCCTTAAGCCAGGCATGAAAACATCCATTCTCCTTCCATTTTTATCCTTCTCAATCATCTTCAGAAAGGAGAATTCAATGACACATCACCTTTGAAGTTTCATTGTAACATTAAGATTTGCTTTTAATTTGTGATAACTTCTGAATATTGTGGTGTGGTTCACCAGTGTACTCTAGAGCACATGGGAAGTGATGCAAAGAAGTGTAGATCTTCAGTTTTGACAGGTAAGAAAGCCATGCTACATTAAACCAAATATCTGCCTAATCTCAGTGGTTATTTCACATGTCAGTCAATTGGGGCATAAAGTACCCTCCCCTCCCAATCATCTTTGGCAAACTGGGTTTAGAACAGTGAGAAGCCACATATGTCCTAATATCCCCACAGCCATTTCCAGCCGCATTTTCGGAGCCTCTAAGGCATCCAAACACAGACTGTGCAAACCCCATGCTTGGGAATTCAAAGCACTTCTTATCTCATTTGCTCCATTAAGCACTCTTTCTAGCGAGTTGGTCCAAAATGTGAACCGCGTTCTTATGAGCTCTTTCCTTAGTTGATGGAACAATCAATTAATAATTAGACAGATGTGTCTGTGATGCTGAGTGAAAAAAAAAAGATTTATCTGGCAGAGATATGGTCTGGGGAGCCCAGATTTTTTTGGGTGGTGGGGGGAGGAGAAATGCAAGAGAATTTCCTGCACTGATATTTGATATGAGAAGATTTGGAGGGCTGGACAATTTCTCAGGGGTTCTCAACCTTGGCAACTTTAAGACTTGTGGACTTCAGCTCCCAGAATTCCTCAGCCAGCAAAGCTAGCTGAGGAATTCTGGGAGTTGAAGTCCACAAGTCTTAAAGTTGCCAAGGTTGAGAACCCCTGCTTTAGAAGCTTACTTGATCAAGAGGAAGTCGGCAGCAGCACCAGAGCATCAGATGGCAACGCAAGCTACCATTTACATTTCTACAATGCGTTTGATTGACTCTTCATTAGGCAATTGAAATTGTGACTCAAAATAGACTCCTGCTGACCTGAGTCATGAGTTAGCAGTAATTCATACCAAGGCATTTTTGTGCTCTGGTGAATACCAAAGAATACCAAGCAGTAGAGGTGAAACAAATAACTTGATTTAGTTGGAGAAGGCTGTGAGCTGATCTTGCTCCACTCCTGATCTTTGCTGGATAGGGTGATTAATGAAGAAATGTTTGCAGAGAATTCTAGAAGGCTAGAAGAGTTCCAGCTGGGTAGGCTATATTTAATATCTCCTACCTATAATGAAGCACAGAATTGTCTATTTGGAAGCTAAAGAGCAGGCTTTTTATTCAATATTTATTGTGATTTTTATTATTGCCTGTTCACCGCCCTGAGTCCCGTAAGGGAGATAGGGCGGTATATAAATTTAAATAATAAATAATAAATAAAGTAGACATAACCCAGGAAAAGCAGATTGGAGAAACAGAAAAATTCCCTACTGCTTTGTCCCCCTACATTCCCAGATTCAAAGTTGGACATATTGAACTATTTAACTTCTAAGAAACTCAAGGGAAAGGGCAAAATATGTATATGTTTGTCTGTACACATATAAACATATATATACAGGGGGATTTCATACCAGGGTTGAGATGTCCTGTCACCAAACTGTCTTGGTACCACTCCTGACGACTACTCCATGTGCTGTTTTGTATATTCAGCATTCTGCTCTTCTCATACATGCCATCCAACCCCATGGAATGGGGCTGAAGATCAGAGGGACAAGAAGAAGGCTGGTAGAGTCTATAGAAGTCCCCCACCTGGAGGGTTGCAAGCTGCAGTTGCACACCCTGCTGTGGATAAACCTGTAGGTAGGTAGGTAGGTAGGTAGGTAGGTAGGTAGGAAGGAAGGAAGGAAGGAAGGAAGGAAGGAAGGAAGGAAGGAAGGAAGGAAGGAAGGAAGGAAGGAAGGAAGGAGGTTTCACTAAGAAAATGTTACTGTTTTTATAGTTCTTCATATTCGCAATGAGCCTGTAACTCTGTGAGCATGTAAGAATTACTCTAGAATTATGAAGACTCAAAGCATCACTTAATTATAAAGGTCATGCACTTTTTATGTTATCTCAGTTTAATAATACCTGACAGCATTATTTAAATTACATAATTTCTGACAAGAGAAAGATGTGGGCTGCTTGAACTGTTTTAAAGAAAGTCCAAATTGAGAAAGAATGGCAGAAGCAGACCAATGAACCAATATACTGAGTTTATCTAATCAGCTTCCGCAGTTTTGTAGAAAAGAATGGATATCCTTTCTAAAACAGTAGGATATAAATCCTCTTTCCTCCCCAATCAGAAGAATTAGAAAAAATATTGAATTGCAATCTGCAAATTATATCTTACCACTCATTTCCCTACACTGACTCTTTATACATGGCTATTATTTATTCTAATTGGTATGTCTGTGGAGAGTCTCAGTCATCCAAGTCATGGTTGTCCCAAAGATGCTTTTTCAAAAGGCAACTGGACTTTATTTTTCCTTGAAGACATTTCACTTCTCATCCATGAAGAGCTGTTTGGGGAATCTTGAGGTCCAGGTAATAGCTATAGTTAGGTACATGGGTGGGGAGTGTTGATGCTTGGTCCTTCATCCTGACAATTCCACCCTATCCTATGTTATGTTGTTTAATGGGCCAACATTTTTGCCTTTGGAAGTTCTGAGTGTTAGTCAAAGCATAGCCAGGCACTCACGAGCACACATAATCACACACTCACACAAACACTGTTAACACTCAATTCTCTCCCCCCCCCCATCCCAGTTTGCCAAGCTGTCTGGACATTGGAGTAGAAGCTTGGGGCAGGAAACTTAAAGGAAGGAAACTGGTCCAAGCATACATGGCTGGATAAAACTGGTGAATAAGTAAGAAAGAGCAAATGGAACAAAACTGCATATGAATGAAAATTTTGTTAATCATGAATGCAGGACTCAAACTTATATCACATAGGTATTCTGAGATCCTATTGATTTATCCTGGGCATCCAAGTTTACTTACTTAGGCATTGAATAATACCATTTATAACAACCTTTAAAAACTCACTGTACTGTAGCTCTTTGCCATGATTTTTAAAAACTTGATACTCCCAATGTGTTTTTTTTTTAATTTCTTGATTTATATTCCTAAATCACAAACTCTACAGGCAGATGAGAAACTAGTTTGACCTAATGTGACAACAGAACAACAAATGTGTGTCCTAAGGCAATGCTACATTTGGCAATGTCACTTTTACATACCTTTCCAGAAGGGAAGCCTCTGGACACTTGGAGTGAGTCTATCTTCCATGTGAAGTTAAATGTGTTAATTAAGAAAGAAAAGATTATTAAAATAAGCTCTTGAGGGCTCCAATTTTTCAAGGAGCAACAGTAAATTCCTGGAACTAACTTCCTGGGGAAGGGAATAGTTTTCATGTTGAGTGATGGCAAAGATCATACCAAAGGTCTTCCTTCATCCGCCACTAGTTGTGCTACAAACTAATTGGCATAGATAGAGTAGAATGGGATAAAAATAAAATAAAAGTCTTATATACCTGATAATAATGAAAATCAATTATAATTCTGCTTACAAGGGAAAAGCAGTGACTCATTAGCACTTCCACTCAATGGAGGTTGCCTCCTGCAATTCAGCATATAAATTTAATAAATAAAATATTGACCGGCAGCAGATCTTTAGAGCCTTAGTGTTGTCAGATATCATTTCTCCTCCAGTATTTTATTTTTAAAAATACCCACCTATCTCACAACCGAGTGATTTTTGGCGGCATGCAGCACTTGATTAAGATCACAGTTGGAAAACCTGTTAAAGTTTTTGTTGCACATTCTTTTGCTCAAATGGGGGGAAAAAAGCAGATGGGACCCATCTGAAAATCTGTGCTCTTAATCAGTAAGAGCTCTCTTTTTAGTCGCTCTTAATTTAAAAAAAAAATGGAGATCCAGCTACAACTTTTTGAATAATATTGTAAGTTAGTCATTAGAAACCAAAAGCATTTTAACAAAGTTATAAGAAATATATTGGAATTTTGCAGCATGCCCTTGTGAGCAAGCAATTCAGCGAAGCAGAGAAATAGCATCACTGCAAAGTGGATATGCAAATAATTTAAACCACATCTTAAAAAAGGACAAAAGAGGAAAAAAATCAGATTAACAAAAAGAGGAACATACATGAATATGGGACCTTCAATTTTAGCACAACGTGCCCACGAGCCTTGTAATAAAATGAAATACGAAGTTTTCGTCCTATTATGAAATATACTCTACTTCCAAATATCTCAAAAAGAATTTTTAAAATGGAAACCTTAAATTTTGTAGCACCATGACCAGTTTTTCAAATGTCATTGTACTGCATAACTACAAAAATCATGTAAGATCTTTAATTAAATTCAAAAAGTGTTATTAAAATGTCTTTGTATCAAACAACATCCTCCTCTTATTAGCCTACTATCTATGGACTGCAAAAAAATGTGGACGACCATTAGATGTAAGCAGTGAAGAAGTTAGCATTTTCTTTTTTCTTTTTATAAGTCAGAAATCAGCATTTTCTGATTCGCTTTTCTACCACCTGATGATCAGCCAGACTTTGGAGTCCAAGTCTGTAATGCTCAGCCTTATATACAACAGCAGCCTTGCAAAATATCATTCCAAAGAATAAGATGCACATTCAAGCATCATTTGAAGCTGTATCTTACTTAATTGTGGTTTGCCAAATGAGCCACTAATTGACTGATTCGTTACAATTGCTCTCCCAGAAAACTGTTTACAAGCCATAACTGCTTGGTATAGTTTGAATAACCACTTGCTAAACCTATCAAATGATGTTCTGCTTCAGGGAGCTATATATGAGAAATTTAAGATACAGAAATGAAACTCCCAGTCTCTGGATTTTATTCTGCCTCCCCAGATAATCAAATTCTTACATTAATCATTTCACTGTGTGTCCATGTAGCATTTAACCACTGTTATTTTATAATATTTCAGAATATCACCACATATATCCAGCAACCAAGTTTGAAATTAAACACCATTAATCTTTCAGAAGGATTTATTTTTTGCCAAATCTATTCAGCTGATGTTAATTTAAACCATTTCACTGGATGTCAAAATATCAAGATGCTTCACTTATCGCCTATCTACCTATACCAGTACTTTTCAATCTGTGGTACTCATGGCATTTCGGCACCTGGCAGGTGATACGCATATGACAGGTTGAAAAGCACTGTAAAAAAAAGTGTAAAAAAAAGTGTAGCAGTGGGATGAGCTGAAGTGGTGGCAGCACCGCACAGGCTTATGAGAGAGTCAGCTGGAGCTGTGGTGTTGCCGGGGCTCTGTTGAGTGCACAGTATCAGCATGCCGCTCCAGGCTGATTGGGAGCAGCACGCAGCCTTGGATAGAGGAGTCAGCTGGAGCTGCACCAAAAAGAAAAGGAGGAGGACGGGGCGAGAGGAGAGGATATAAAAGGAGGAGATTTCAGTGGGAAAAGGAGAGGAGATAGAGATGGGAATGGAGAAAGAGAGACAAAGAAGAGAAGAGGCTTCTTTGAGACAAGAAGAGGGAGAGAAGGGATAGAACAGTGCAAAGATTAAAGTCAGAGAAGCAGGCACAAGTTTCCCATTAAAAGTGTAGTCAGTGGGTGCACAGATAGTCCTCAATGTACGATCACAATTGAGCCCAAAATGTATGTTGCTAAGTGATAAATTGGTTAAATGAGCTTTGTCCCATTTTACAACTTTTCTTGCCACATTTGTTAAGTGAATCACTGCAGTTGTTAAATTAGTAACACATTTGTAAATCTGGTTTCCCCATTGACTTTACTCTGCAAAAGGGGATCACGTGACCCTGGGACTCAGCAACCATCATAAATATGAATCAGTTGCCAAGCATCCGAATGTAAATCACGTGACCCTGGGGATGCTGCAACAGTCATAAGTGTGAAAAATGGTCTTAAGTCACTTTTTTCAGTCCCGTTGTAACTTCGAACAGTCACTAAGAGGACTGTTGTAAGTCAAGGACTACCTATACTTTATCACTTTTTTCCTTTTTTTTTGGTCCTCAAGTTTTTGACACCTTGTTAGGTGACTGGTGGTACTCATATATTGCTATATCGTAAAAGTGGTACAATCGGTGAAAAAGTTGGAAAGCACTGATCTATACCACCAGCTGCCAGATACTTCCTTCCTTTGCAATAGTGGCGAATATCTGTAGCTTGGGTATAGGATGAGGCTGAAGGTTCGTTCTCGGAGCTCATGGGTTGGTTTCCAAATGTTTCGTTACCAGGCTAGGAAACATCTTCAGCGGAGTTTAGGGGATGTTAGTGTCAGTGATCTTCTATTTATAAGGGCTTCATGTGATCAGTGGGTCTTGTGATGGTGAGGTCACGTCAGGTGAAGGTCCCATCAGGTCAGAATCCTGTGATGGATCTTGTGATGGGTCAGCTGTGAGTCACCAGTGAGAGTCTTTTGATGGGGAGATTACATCAGGTGTGGTTCATTTGGAGGTGACGTGCTGGTTGAGGGGAGCTTATGTAGGTTGGTTTAGGATCGGTGCTGTTTCTGGTTGGCTGTGCAGTTTATTTGGACTCTGAGGGGTTTGTAGGCTGGTTATAGGTCAATATGTCTGTTGATGGAATTGCTTATGGAGTGCCAGGCTTCGATGAACTCACAAGCATGGCAGGTGGTAGTGTGTCCAATGATTTTTGTGTTGCTCCAATTG